CTTCCACAGGCTCTATGTTCAGTTGTTCATCCACACCCATTTCCAAGGCTACTGACTACAGAAAATAATTACCACTAAAAATATTTCTTTTAAAAAGCCAAAATTTCAATAATTAACAAATAGTTCCTAAAATTTGTGGAATAAAGCTTCTTCCCCCCTCCCAATCCCCAACCCTAAAATCATCAGGGCCATTTGTGTGCCAATACATATTCCTTTGACGCAGAACAAGCATTATCTGTTGCATGTACGACTAGAAGGCTGAACATGGAGGTGATCAATTGTTTCGTTGGCTGCAAAAGCTAATTCTTCCAATGAGTTTAGGGAAAGGAACTACAGCTGCCTTAAATCTTGAGATTCTTGGTTAAAACTACTATTCTGTTAATGCAGTCCTCTTGCAGTAAGCTGGAGAAATGAGAAACATAAGTAAGGAATCATTTTTTCTAGGTGTGGTGATGGCACTGTGGTTACGAGAAAGAGAGGGAAGAGAGGAAGAGGGAAAAGCAGGGGAAGTACCTCTCTCCCTGAAGACACACACTAGGATACATGAATTATGGTCAAAATAGACTTCAAAATAACTGGAGGGGGAACAGTGAACAGTAGATGGAGATATAGATGAACAAATCGTAAAACTAAGTGAAAGGTACATCGGGGTATTTTATGCCCTATTTTTGCATCCTTTTCCATGATAAAATGTTTAAAGATAACAGGCTTAAGATAAAAAAGGAGCAGACTTGTAAAATTGTCAAATGATAAAATAAGGCTGTGGCTTAAATTAGCTTTAGCTTTAAAAAAAAAAAAAAAAAAAGCCCCAGGAAAAACTAACTTGAATCCTATTTCAACTTGGCGCATTTATTATTGTTTTAATAAACCACTTTAGTGAAAGAGAAGTGACATATGTTAAAGGCCTACATCCTCAGCATACTAAAGAATATTCTGGGTATTTAAAAAAGCAGCCCAAATGCTCAGGAGTGCACTCAATAACCTATATACCTCTAGCACACGAGCCACACATCCTTAGAGAATTTCCCTTAATTTTGTTATTCTTCATCTCCGGTCACGCTTCTTCGTCAACTTCCTCACTGTAACGGACTGACATGGGAGATAGCTCTTTCGATTTAATGGTACAGTAGCTGCCTGTTCATGAATCATGTCATTCTAGATTGTTCTACTCTAATGACAGTGACTAAGGGTATTTTGTTTTGGGGAGAGGAGAAAATAAAAAGCCATCTTTTCCTTAAAAAACTGTAAAAGAAATAGGACATTCCCCTTCAAAGGTGAGGGGTGGGGGTGGACTAGCCTTCATTAGTTAACTGCTCTGCTGGCTGAAATTGAGAGCCTATAAATAAGAAGTTTTAAACATGCAGCGGTTTTGGGCTTTTCCTTGGGATGTAGAAAGTGGCAAAGAACATTTCTTAAACTCTAACAAGGAACAGCTGGATGATATACAAAATCATAGTATTTCTGAGCCCTCAGCTGGTGGAGGCTGCAAAGCAATTGGGGAAACTGGAGTAGAGAGGACCACCTGCCCGGAAGATACAGGGCAGTTTTCCCTCGGGCAGGGCTAGGGAGAACGGTGGCTGCTGTACAAGCCAGTCAGAAAAATTCAGCGAAGCTTTGAACATGTTTCAAGGCCAAGTGTGGGTCACGCATCACTCTGGAACGGGAGTGGTTATTTAGTGTGTGGGTCTCAGTGCAGAATGCGAACGCAGGCAGGACTCCCTGCTCAAAATTGAAGAGCTCAAGACGGTGACACCACAGCGTTGAAGCCAGCCCGAGGCCCTGCTAAGGGTGGGGCTGTGTGTGACTGCACAGGCCACATGTCATGAAGCCAGTTCTGGCTGGGGGACTCGGGTACAAAGGGACTTCCCACTCACCTGAAAGCTCTTCTCCCCCGGCCTTCACCAGTGTTCACGAGGAGAGAGGCATGCAGACGACCAGAGAAAGCCACCTGGGTGCAGACAGGGAGGTGACTGGTGGCTGCAGAGGGACACACTCAAAGCTCCACTAGCTTCTTGGGGTCAGTCAACCAATGCTACGGCCACAAGGACACTGGCAGAGACCCGTTTCTGGAAAAGCAGTAAAAGCAAAATCCATCCGCCTCTCCCAGGACACAGGCAGGTACTTAGTGCTGCTGGGGAAAGGGCAGAAGCAAATACAATATTCTCTACTCTTGGGGGTGGAGCAGGTGCAGGTAACAACAGGTGCTACCGCTGGGGATGACTCAGCAAGCCAACTCTCTAGACTCACCTCCCTACAGGGCAGAGTCTATCTGCCACAGGCAGGAGGAATGGGAACCCCACCTCCGAGGCCAAAGCACACTGGCCCCATCTGAGACCAAGGGTGATTTGGGACAACAGGGCATCTCGCCTGCTCCTGCCATGAGCCTAGCATCCAGTGAGAAGCAACAGCTGTCTATGGACGGACAGGGAAGCTTAAGGGCAGGAAGAAAGGCCTCTCTCCGACACAGGGATGCAGCGACAAGGGAAAGGGGACATGGGGAAACCTAGCACCCCGCCCCATCCTAAGCACAAGGTAACAGCAGCCAGCCCATCATTGTCGAGTTCAAGGTCTCTGGGCTCCAAGTCTCTGGGTAACGATAGAATTCTATACGCTGTAACAATACCTATAAAAAATGAACACGAAACACAACAGTTGAAGAAATTCATCACCGGCAGACTTGTACTACAAAGAGATAGTCAAGTAAAGTCTTTAATGCTGAAGAAAATTATACCAGGAGGGAATATGAATTTATACAAAGACATGAAGAGCACTGGAAATAGTATATATTAACATGAGTAAATACATAAAAGTTTTGTCTTTCAATTCCTTTAAATTTAAATCTAATTATTAATCTAATGTTCAAACAAAAGTAATAATGTTATATGGGGTTTTTAATACATGTAAAAAAGCAAAATATATGACAATAGCACAGAGATAAGGGGGTAAATGGAAGTATACTACAAGGTTCTTATGCTCAATTTTATGCAGTATTACTTGAAGGTAGACAGTAAGATTTGTACCACAGATCCTAAAGTAACCACTAAAGTAACAGACCACAGCAGTATAGCTAATAAGTCACTCAGGAGATAAATGAAGAATATTCAATTAATCCAGAAGAATTAAGAAAAAGAGAATACACGGGGCAAACAGAAAACCAACAGCGAGATGGCGGGTGGTAATCTGTTCCTGCGCTTCTCTGCCATTTGTGTGGCTTCTCCCATGACATGTCTGTTCACATCTTCTGCCCGTGCTCTCACTGCACTGAGTGGTAAGAGTTCTTACAAAATACGGATACGAGTCCTTTATCAGATACATGTTGCAAATACTTTCTTGCAGAGTACTGTCTTTTAATTCCATCCTTGGAAGCACAAAAAGTTTGAATTTTTATGAGGTTCAATTCATCAATTCTTTAATTTTCCATTCTTTCAGTGTAGTTATTTACAAAATCTTTGCCTAACCCAAGGTCTGAAAGGGGTTTTGTGTTTTCTCGTAAAAGTTTGTATCGGGCCTTACGTTTGAGTCTAAGATCCATTTTCAGGGACTGTTTTTCTAAGGTCAGCATCTAAGGTCACCCTTTTCCGTGCGGATGTACAATTGTTCTAACACTATTTTGTTGAACAGACAAATCCTTCCTTCAAAGAATTGCCTTGTTTCTTTGTTGAAAAACAATCTAATGTTAAGCATTTATCTGTGTGTGTCCATTTACACCTGTACTGTACTGTCTCGAAAACCATAGTTTTATAATAGCTAAATTTTCAGATAGGGAGATTAATTTTTCAAAATTTGAGTATTCTATGTTTTGTCCACGTATTTTTATATATTTTCACAGTTTTTCTAAATTCCATTTTATAGAATTTAAGTCTCCTTTAATTTCATCTTTGATCCTCGAATTATTTTTTAAATTTCAAAATGGCTTTCCAAGTTGTATTTTTGTTATTGACCTCTAAAGTAACTGCACTGTAGTCAGATTTTAGTGTGACATAATCAACTTTTTAAAAGGTTTCTGATGTGTAATAATTGCCAATTTTTATACACTTGACAAGAACGTGTGTTCTGTTTGGGTGCAGAAATCTACGCATGTTTGTTGTATCGAGCTCATTAAAATGTGTTACTCAAATCCTCCACACCTCTGTTGACTATAGAAAAGGAAGTCGAAACCTGCCATTGTAACAACGGAAACTTCAATTTGTCTCTGCATTTCTAAGGATTACTGTTTTTAACATGTTGAGGCTATTTTGGTATGTGCACACAGGTAGAGAAAGTCTAACTTCATTTGCATGGGCCCTCCACTCTGCAGTTTTATCACAAACCCATTTAATATGAGTATAACTACTTCAAGTTTCCTTTGTTCAGTACTTTCTTGATCTATCTTATCTTTTTATTTTCAATCTACCCAATTTGCTCTGCTGTTGGTGCGTGCCTGATAATGGGTATATATATAGCTAGTTCAAAAAAAAATCACATTTGACCCTTTGTCTTTTAATTAGAGAATGCAGTCCATTCACATTGATTTATAATTTTCAGATATTTACACTTAACTCCTACCATCTTGTTTTCTTATACAAACACTTACTAGTTTTTCCTCTTGTGTCTCTCACCCCCAAACTGATGCCCTATTTTCTCCTCTACTATTTGGAATTTACATTTACATTTGTATAGTACGATTACTACTATTTCTACTAAACTCTCTTTTGGAGATTAATCATATATTTTGTTTTTTAAAAGATTCTTCCCAGCTATGTAATATTCTACAGTTTCAGATACAATTCATAGTTAAAAACATTGAATACAATAACACAAATTAGCTAATGAAATGTTTAGACTACAGATGGCTTTTTCATGATCTAAAAGATATCAGGTCCTATTTCAATTTTTTCTCATAAGCTTTATACAAACAACATTAATTTAAAAGACCTCAACACCATTGTTCATTACAAGATTTTATATCAAATTTTAAAATAATAAAACTTTCATTTCAAGTATATCACAGTAAATCATTGTTTTTGTTTAACATGAAAAGTTTATTTGCTCAGTACACCAGAGGGAGGCAAGCACTGTCAGACAAATGCACAGTAATACTCAGACCAACAGAAAACAGTGACATAGCTTAAATGAGGGGAAATCTCTTTAAATGTTATGACTACCTACTTCCAAGAAGAATCTTTTCTTCAGTTAATGATACATTTCAATAAAATAAAGGATAATGGATTAGGTGAAAGTCAGCTTGTGAATTTTCCTTAAAAATAAAATTCCAACTCTATTAATCCATGCCAGCTAAACACCGTAACTACAATTTCCAAGTAAGTGCCAAAGGAGACGAAGGGGTCTTTTTCGCTCTAACAGTCCAGAGGAAAGCAGTCACTACAAATACAGCAGGCAGACTGTTAAGACCGACTCCGTTAGAGCTGCGCTGAGTTTCAGTCTCAGCGCTCTCATTGTGCTAAGTGCTCGTCATTAGCATGGCACGTTTTGGTCCATGATACAGCTTAATGCCAAGACAGAGCCCAATTCCCAATGTGTTACAGATACACATAGATCACTCTGTGTGTGTGTGCGTGTGTGTGAGAGTGAGAGAGCCAGCATACTTCCACATACGAAGGCAGGTTTTTTCCCGGGAGGAACTTATAGGAAGTAGTCTGGGGTGCGCCGGGTAACGTGAGGCTCTCCACGACGAGGTGCTGGGTCAAACTGAAGGCTGTCAATGGCAAAAAAACAAAAAACAAAACAAAACAAAAAACAAAAACCCCAACAGTTAAAGGATTTGAAATTGTAAGCAAACAAATCAACGCTATGGCTGAAATGAACAAGTCACTCCAGGTACTTTCCATGAAACCACCTCCCAGAGCTACGGTGGAAATCTAAGCAGATAAAACGTCGACCTCGGCGCCTGGAAGAAAAGGTCTGCAGTATCATCGTGAGTTAAATGGAAGTGGTAAGAGCACACGTGCTTGTTCTGCGAGACTTCAGGACAAAGTATTCGGTCTTTTACTATTAAGAATGATGTTAGTTGTGGGTGTTTTGTAGATGCCCTTCATCAGGATGAGGAAGTTCCCTTCCCTGACTAGTTTATTATTTTTATTACGAAAGGGTGTTGCGTTTTGACAGCACTTTTTCGGGCTTTACTGAGATGATCATGTGTTTTTTGTCCAATAAACTATGAATATAGTTTATTCCCTTGACTGATTTTCATGTTCTGAACAAACTTTGCATTCCTGGGTTAAATCCCACTCGGCCATGGTGTATCACCCTTTTTATACCTCGCTGCCCTCCGTTTGCTCGTATCTGGTTGCAGGAATCTGCATCTACACACTGACAGTATTTAGCTGTAGTTTCTTTATCATGTCATGGATTTTAGTATTAGGGCTACACAGGCCTCAAAGAATGAGCTGAGAAGTAATCCCTTGCTTATGTTTTTGGAGATGTTTGTGAAGGATTGGCATTAATTCTTTTTACTTTTAAAAGATTTTATTTTTAGATAGAGGTGAACGGAGGGAGAAAGAGCGCTAAACATCGATGTGTGAGAGAAACATTGATCAGCTGCCTCTTGCACGTACCCTGACCAGGGACCAGGCCTGCAACCTAGCCGTGTGCCCTGACCAAGATCGAACTGGCGACCTTTCATTTTGCTGGACGACGCCCAACCATCAGAGCCACACCTGTCAGGACTTGATTCCTCTTTAAGTATATGGACAGTTTCTCACAGAAGCCAGTGGGGCCTGGACTTCTTTTGTAGAAAGCTTTAAAATTATGAATTCAATTTCTTTACTTGCTACAAGTATATTCAGATATTCTATTTTTTTAACCTTCTAAAAATATTTTATTTATTTATTTTTAGAGAGGGAAGGGAGGGAGAAAGAGAGAGAGAAAGAAACATCAATGTGTGGTTGCTGGGGGCTGTGGCCTGCAACCCAGGCATGTGCCCTGACTGGGAATCGAAACTGTGATGCTTTGGTTCTCAGCCCGTGCTCAATCCACTGAGCTACGCCAGCCAGGGCTCAGATATTCTATTTCTAACTGAGTTGGTTTTGGTAGTTTGTCTTTCTAGGAATTTTCCCATTTCACTCAGGTTACCTAATGTGCTGCCACACAGTTATTCATGACACTCCCTTATAATTCCTTTTATCTGAGTCAGGTCAGCAGTGAGTTTGATAATGTGTCTTCTCTCCTTTTCTTGGCCAGCCCAGTTTTTTCATTGGAAAAAAGTTAATGTTTTTGTTAAAAATAATCACCTTTTGGTTTTGTTGATTTTCTCTGTTGTTTTTCTACTGTTTCATTTCATTTTCACACTGAACTTTCCTTGCACTGGGTTTAGTTTGCTTTTCTTTTTCTGGTTCCTTTGTATAAAGTTAGGTTTCTGATTTGAGATCTTTCTTGATTTTTAATATAGGCATTTACAGCTATAAATTTTCCTACGAACACTGTTTTCACAGTTATCCCCTAAGTTTTGGTACATTCTATTTTCACTGTCAGTTTTCTCAAAGTATTTTGTAATTTCCCTTGTGATTTCTTCTTTGAACTATAAGTTATTTAGGAGTATGCTAACTTTCACATGTTTATAAACTTTCCAGTTTTCCTTCTGTTATTTCTAATTTCACTGCATTGTGTTTGGAGAACAGACTTTGTATGTTGATTCTAGTCTTCTTAAACCGAGGCTTGGTTTATAGCCTAGCACATAACCAATCTTGGAGAACGTCTCACATGCATTTGAGAAGACTGCATTCTGCTGCTGTCAGGGGGAGTGTTCTGTGGATGTTAGGTATAGTCAGTGCACAGTGTTTCTCAAGTCTATTTCTTTACTGATCTTCTGCCTAGTTTTATTCATGAAAGTGGTATAATCAAGTCTCCAACAATTATTGGTGAATTGTCTAGGTCCTTCTTCAATTCTTTTAATTTCTGCTCCATATACTCTAGGGCTCTGTAGTTCAGTGCATGCTTTAGAGTTGGTCTCTCGTCCTGGTGGTGTGAGTCTTTCATCATTATGAAATATGCTTTATGTCTAGTAACCATTTTTAAAAAGATTTTATTTATTTATTTTTAGAGGGAAGGGAAGGAGAAAAGAGGGAGAGAAACATCAGTGTGTAGTTGCCTCTCGCATGCTTCCTACTGGGGACCTGGCCTGGAACCCAGGTATGTGCCCTGACTGGGAATCGAACCAGTGACCCTTTGGTTCACAGGCCAGCACTCAATCCACTGAGCCACACCAGCCAGGGCTCTAGTAACAACTTTTTATTTTGAAATCTGTTTTGCCTGATTATTTTATCCAGTCCAATGTTCTCGTGGTTGCTATTTGCATGGTGTTACCTTTTTCTACCATTTTACTTTTAACCTATCTATACTTTTGAATGTAAATTATGTTTCATGTAGATATCCAGACACTGTATCTTAAAAAAAAATGGTAATATCTGCCTTTTGTTTGCACTGCTTAAATTGCTCACATTTAGTGTTATTGCTATGACTGAATTTATATCTTTCATTTAAAAAATGTGTCTTCTTTAGCTCCTGGTTCCTGCTTTAACTGCTTTCTTTTTAAATAAAAGAATATTTTCTAGTTTACCATTTACATTCCTTTAACAACTTTACAATTACTTTTCTTAAATTATTAGTGCTTGCTCTAGAATTACAGTACACAACTTAACATGAAATTCTACTTCAGATTTATACTGACTTAATTCTAGTGCATTATAGAAACTTACTCCTATGTAGTATACAGAACTCCTTTCCATTGCCCTCCCTTTTTTGCTATTGATGTTATATACACAGTATATGTACATACATTACAACCCCCCAAAATACTTGTAGTTTTACATAATCTGATGACCTTAAACAAGCCGAGAAAGGAGAGCAAGTACATATTTATAGGTTTTGTCATACTAACCTCATTTTTATTTTCTTCATGTTCTTCCTTAGGATTCAAGTTACCATCTAGTGTTACTTTTTTACTTCAATAAGCTTTATTCCCACCCATCTCCTCTGTCCGGTTCCTGTCAAATACACTACATTTGCATATATTTCCCATAAATTCAACTACACTACAAATATATCCACATTGTGTGATGCGACTGGTTTTTAAATCGGCTCAGAAAGCTGCAACTGCACTTCTGCAACAGCCACTGTGTGCACACGCGTGCATGTGATTTACTTTCTGGTGTCATTTGCTTTCAGCCTGAAGTAGAACCTTTAGGCATGTCTGCTGGTATTGAATTTTCTCAATTTTGCTTATCTGGGAACATTTTTCTTTTGCATTCGTTTTGAAGTTTTGCTGGATATACGATCTTGGCTGAGTTTTTTATTTTCAGCACTTTGAATGAATATATTGTCCCCTTGCCTTTCTGATGAGACTGTCAGCTGATTATCCTATTCAGGTTCCCCTTCATAAGTCATTCTTCTCTTACTGCTTCCTAAGATTCTTTCTTTTAGACTTTTAGCATTTTAACTATGACATGCTGGGCATGGATTTCTTTGAATTTATCCAAGTTAGAGTTGAGTTTCTTGGATGTGCAAATTAATGTTTATCATCAAATTTAAGAAGCTTTCAGCCATATTTCTTCAAATATTCTTTCTGTTCCCTTTTCCTCCCCTCTCCTCCTTATGGAACTTCTGTACACTTACACTGATGTGCTTGAAGATGTCCTCGTTTCTGAGGCTCTGTTCATTTGTCCTTCATTATTTTCCCCTGTTAAACTTCTTGCTCTGCTCCTTCACTTGATGCTGCTAGTATCGTGTCAGGAGAGTGATGTGAGCCCTCGTAACTGGTTTCTACCATGATACTCATTGTTTTCAACAGAATGTTTGGGCCTGGGACTCCCTACCCTCTGTTCCAGGTAAGATCAGTCCTCTCAGCCAGAGCTGAGGAACGTTTTGTTCTGCCTCTCACCCTGAACTTCTATGCTGCTGCTTTGAAGCTGTTTCTGCCTCCACCCCCCATTATTTTATTTTTTTCCTTTTTGCGGAAGCTAGTGTGCATAGGGTTTGTTACCTGTGTCTTTCTTAAATTGAGATGTAACTGACATATCATTCTCAGGTGTACACATATGCTTCCATAAATGTATATATACACTTCGAGAAACAAGCACCACAACGTGTCTAGTTAGCATCCATCACCACACGTAGTTACCAAGTTTTTATCTTGTGGTGAGAACTTTTAGGATCTATTCTCTTAGCAACTTTCAAATATATGGCACAGTGTTAATTAGTCACCATGCTCGACATGACACACCCCTATTTCACCACTTCCTGGTGACCCCCCCCCCGCCCCCCATTCTCTGAGCAGGAGAAGGAAAAGAACACCCAGGACCCAGCATTCTCACTCCACCGTGCACACTGGGAGGAGAGCTTCGGCCCCGGGAGCGAGACAGGGGAAGGGGATCCCAGCCTGCCTGACGGCACCCACGAGGAACACAGCTTCTGTGACCCAGGACAGGGTAGGTATGCTCTGCTGGCCTGTGGCCCCCTGGGGGTAAGACTGGGAGCTGGGGAAAGGGCAGAGCTCCCCTCTTCCGGTCCACACCCACGCACAGTGCTGTGCCCAGCGTTGTTCCCACACGAGGGATCGAGGACTAGGGGCAGGGAGTCCACTGTGGCTCAAATTCCACAAACTCTGGCTGTTACTACTGAGATTTAATAGATTTCCTAGAATAAGTGTTTCTCTATTTGCAGTACTACTTAAAACAATTTCCAAAATTTCTGAAATACTTGTTCAAAATAAGTTTCTCCAGTTAAGCAGTTATTTCCATTGGGGAGAGAGTTTACCACATTTCTCACTCCACTGTTCCAGAAGCAGAAATCCTCTACCTCCTGTTTTAATCATCTATGTTTTAAAGTTTCCTTTTAAAAGTGATCACGTAACAACTGAAATTTAGAGTTACTTACAAGGAATATTTCAGAGTGTCATCCAATTCCATGATGGCAGCCTGGTTCCCACAACGATAGCAGTAATTGGGCGCACTGAAAATGGTGACCACGTTCCGATCGTGGCACCAGTTATAGCCCTGCAGCATTCAAAAGACAAGTATCATCACTATAAAGCTGTAATCTCGACACAGATAAATGTACACTTACACACTGCAGACACGTTCTGTGGAAACGCAGTCTTTTAAGTTACCTTACACAGTACCCATCACTAGTTCGTGCACCTGCACAGAACGCCCCACTGTCGGGCGCAGGGTTTTGTTACCACATGGAGCTCAGCACAGGCTTTGTTTCGGCTTAACGTATGGCTGCCATCTCAGCTAGGATCTGTACTCAATTCCTCCCACCGTTAGGGCAGATTTTCTTCCTTTTTTTAAATCCATTTTTAGAGAGGAGAAGGAGGGCAGGAGAAAGGAAAGGGGGAGGGGGGGAGAGACAGAGAGAGAAAGGGAAACACTGACTTGTTTTTCCACTTTTTAAGCACTCATCAGTGGCTTCCTGCATGTACCCTGACTGGATGTTGAAGCGGCAACCTCAGCGAATCGTGACGACACTCGGACCAACTGAGTGACCTGGCCAGGGTGGGAGAGTCCTTGTAAGTTGTGTCCATTTTTGCTTTACGTATTTTGAATCTATTATTAGGTAAATACAGGCCAGTTTTCTCTAGTAGTGACCTCTTTTTACTTCTAATTATACCTTTTGTCTGAGAGCCCGTTCTGATTCATACTATTAGCTGTGCTTTGCCCATTTATCTAAATGATACGCCAGCACAGCATTTTCCATCCCTTGCTTCCAGGGGGTGGTGTCATCATGTTCCACATAAATCCCAAACAGCAGCTAAATTTTGAGTGTTTATCCAATTTGAGCCTCATCTTTTACAGAAATAAAAATTTTCATCCATTTAATTATTTAATGTTTACTGATATAATTAGATTTATTATCTTTATAAAAATTTATGTTATTATGTTCTCCCTCCTCCTCTTGCCCTTATTGGCTTTGTAAAATGTCCTCTTACATTTTGAAGCTATCTCCTATTGGTTTGGAAGGGTTATATTCTATTTATTTTCCTTTAGTATCTACAACACAGTAACATCACAGTAGAAAATTCTGGCAGGCATCAACTTAGAACTAAGTGGCCCAGGTTAACACCACCAGCTATGGGATTAACACATTTCAGGACCTCGGACGTGATGCTCAGAAAAGGACACAGTATCATTATGTGGTTTACCCACCAAAACACGCCCTGAATCTAAAGCAGTAAGGAAGCGTCAATCAAATCACAAATGAAAAACATTTATACAGGATAAAATTGCTTGCACTTTTCAAAAAATGTCAAGATTATGTAAAACAAAGAAAATCTGAGAAATTATTTCCACATCAAAGGTGACCACCTGTAGCACGATCCTGGATTAGATTATACAGACATATATTCAATTACATGTTGCTATAAAAGCCATTAGTGATATAATTAAAATTTGAATACAGTGTCTAGGTTAGATAATAGTACTACATCAACGCAAATTTAATGACTGTCATAAGTATAGTGTGGTTATGTAAGAGAAAAGTCCTTACTTTTACAAAATACACGTGTAAATCTGGGGGTAAAAGAGCGTCGTATCTGCAACTCACATTCAAACAGTTGAAAAGAAAGTGATGTGTGTAAGAGAAGGGGGAGGAACAAAGAAACAGAATGACAAAGCATGTATTTAAATATTTATATTTGAGGACTCTGACTTCAAGATATAAAGGAATTATTCGGTACTGTTTTGCAACTTTTCTCTAAGTCTAAATTAACTTCAAAAGAGAGTTATAATTTTGCCATAGCAAACTACTACTTTCGCTGCTTGCAAAGGCCAGCCAAGTTCTTTCTCCTCCCACTTAGATAGTGCTGAGGATTGTTTCTGCTATTCTAACGCATGAAGGCTTTGTTAAAGACACATGTATTTATTTGAAATAAAGATCGCCCTCCTGTAGGGAAAGGACATACCTCCATCACAAGCTGGTGCGCACGAGAAACCAGTGTGAGACCATTGGCATGATTAAATGTTTCGGAAATGTCTTGTCCAAACGTGTAGCCAGCACCGCGCGGTGAAATACCCCACCCGCCGCGATCATCTGGATCTGACCACAACAGATCACACATTGGGCCCTGGTCAAGAAAATTAAGTTTGTGTTATAAATTATTAGCAGTCATGTTTAACTAATTAAGCTTCACTACAACGTGGTTGTATTTCTTTCCATCTGACTTAAACTAAGTTTACCTCGTGTGGAACTTCCTGTAAACGGTCCAGGGCTCTGATATGATCCAGTGTGTCTATGGATGGAGAGAGGCCACCGTGGAGGCAGAATATCTGTTCGTGAATTTAAAAAGAAAATCAGTTAATTGCTAAAAATTAATGCAAAGTAAGTAATGAGTATAAATGTCAATCCTAACAGCTCTTTTGAAAATAAAGTTTAAAAATATTCACTATGGAGAATTTACAGGATATGATGAAAAAGAAAACAAAAATCACATCAGAGAGAGATGTTAATATTTAAATGTATCTTTTTGTCCTTTTTTCTTTAAAACTCCGAGTGTTTTACGCAGCGTTCGTCCCTTTCTCTGGTGACGGGACCTGGGTCCTGGTGGCCCATCTCCGACTCGTCCGGTGGCCGCTGCTGTGTCAAGTTTCCCCTCTCCACAAAGACCCCACAGGCCCCATTCCTGGAGCCAGTGACTTTCCAGTTTGTTTTAATTTTTCTGAGTGCAAAATCATGCTTGCAAATATTTGTTTTCTCTTCTTTTCAGTATTTAAACCTTTTAATTCTTCTTACTGCTCAGTATACTGGCTAGAGTTTCCAAAACAAAACTAAATAATGCAAGTTAGCATTTTTGTGTGTTTTGTTTTGCTCTTTTTTGTAAAACACCTATTCCCAGGCCCAACTTCTAGGGATTTGGAATCAAATTTTACAGGGAATTTTTCTCCTGATTTTGACAAGACAGTTTCTGATACTTTGCTAGTAAGTATAGTAACCCTCCTTCTTTTTCCCGCAATCCCTTCACCCCATAACCTCCCCCGCCTTAGCAGTATTCCTGCTCTCCATTTACGAATTTGTCTCTATTTTGCTTGTTAGTTCAGTTTGTTCATTAGATTCCACATATTGAGTGAAATCATAAGGTATTTTTGTCTTTCTCTGACTGGCTCATTTCATTTAGCATAATGCTCTCTAGGTCCATCCATGCTGTCACAAAGGGTAAAAAATAAAAGTTTCTTGTTTTTTTTTATGGCAAAGTAGTATTCCAATGTGTAAATGTCCCATAGTTGTTTAATCCATGCCTCTACTGATGGACAGTTGGGCTGCTTCCATATCTTGGTGATTGTAAATAATGCTGCAACGAACACAGGGGTGCTTATGTTCTTTGCAATTAATGTTTTGGGGTAACAAACAAAATTTTAAAAGTATCACATTGTTTTCTTTCATTTTAGCAAGTGCAGGCAAAAGGCTGTCCTTCTAAATTAATTACCACACTCCAAAATCACGGCTGGGAACATGTGATCCATTAGGATCACACAGAAAAGGTCCTAACCAAATTATTCCCACAGCAGTCCGAGAGGATCTACTACACCCCTGACAACTCTGGGATTTTACAGTTTAAAAACTGTAGTTATATAGTATGTTTTATATTTATATTAAAACCAGTTCAAGCTCATAGGGATTACATCTATAAACTGGGATAACAGGAAACAAATAATTTTTTTCTTGTACTTTTGAATTTTATTTTTATGTAGTTTTTTTACAGTATGTCTGTAATACTTGTTATAGGTAGAAACAAAGCATTCATTTCTTAGTAAAAAAGTGTAATACGCAATATTACTGCTTGCAATTTTCATGAAAATTGGAATAAAAAGTTATTAATGATGGACAGTAAACCCTCATATGTGAAGACAGTTTTAAAAGAATAGCTTTGCTTTACTAGTATTATATGTTAAGGTCTTAATCATTCATTTATCATATTTTATTGTAATAGAAAAGTATATTGGCATATTATCTGGCCAAAAGATTTAAACACATATCTAGTAATAACATGAAAATTTTGTGGTCTCAATATGCATAAATCTTATGCAAGTCCCTGCTCTAAAATCTTTAAAAGAGAACCAGGCCCACACCCCCACCCCCTGCCAGCCAAGGGGATGAAAAACACATCATATAAATCTAGACCCCAGACTACTAGGAGAAAATCTTTTCCTACTTCTATTCCGCCCCAGCCCCCAGCCCCCAGAAGAGCACACACACACACACCTGTCCGTCTACTAGAGCTGTAAGTGGGAGATAATCAAACAGATCTGTGAAGTATCTCCAGACATTGGCATTTCCGTACTTTCGTAGGCATTCATCATAGAAGCCATATACTTGGGTAATTTGTCGGCTTTCGTGGTTTCCTCTCAATATTGTAATGCGTTCTGGATAACGCACCTAAAGGAAAAGCAAAAACACAAAAACAACAAAACAAAAACAAAGAGGAAAAAAAAACATGGTGTAAACCATTATTTTTACCAGTGACATGTTAAATATATTAACCTATGACCCATCCCTTTAAATCACTCTTTTGTCTGCTAGTAAGTTAAATGTAAGTAAAATCTTTTTCAGAGTAAAAAATGTTCTCATTCATAACCATTGATTAAATTATCACAAAATATTTTGGGTAGGCATACTTCTTCATTATTGTTTGGAATCCTCATTAACTGATACCTATATCACTGTAATAAACGTGTACGTGATTCTTTCAAATACCTTTCTCCTTAAACTGTCACTAGTTTTCTAAATCTCCTCAGAACAGTGTGACTTCTTACTTTAAAGCATACTTTAAAGCATACCATTTAGTTAGGAACATGTCTGATAAGTTACAAAAAGCATCAGATTCTGTAAACCAAATTAACCAAAAGCTGCAAATACATACTTCTTCTACGCATGTATATTCACTAAGCACCCATTATATATGTCCAGGCTTAAACTCAGTGCTTACAATGAGGTCAGGTCTCCACAAGTACAACACTACAGAACGCCTGCGCTTTAGGGACTAATCTCACTAAAGAAGTATGTGAACTAAATAATAGAAGGCAATAAACCACTACCTAACATAAATAAGGGGTGAGACAAGACTCTTCAGAGTAATTTCAAGGAAAAGAGGAAGGCTAGAATGGTTGAAGACTTCGTGGAAGAATAGCTGGAGTTGAGTTTTGGCATAAGGGGTAAAAATTCACAGAGTGATCCCATGAAGAAACTGGATGGAGACAGACTGAGCACTGCAATACTCGGATTTGATCTGCTACCAACTACTGGCAGGGAAATTCAGGCTACAGTCCAGAGGGCCAGGCTAGGAGGACTTTGAGCTTGAGTCTACTGGCAACGTGATATCACTGAAGAATTTGGGTGGGAGCAGGGAAGTGACAAGATGAAAGTGTTAAAAGAGATTTAATCAGGCAGCATATGCAAGGGCAAGGAGAATTTGGAGGGGGTCAGATCTTAGAAGCAGAAATATTAGTTACTACTATTACTGCTATGGCAATAACCAGGCTGGAATGCTAAAATACAATCTGGGTGGAGACAGTAAAAACAGAAAGACACAAGGATAACAGACTTCTCAAGGCAAGAATTTTAAAAGACTTGTTTAAAAAAAAAAAGATTTGTTAATTGACTAAACATGAAGGATGAACAACCAAGTCAAAAACGATCCCAAGACTTCAGCAATGGATTCCCCAAGAGAAAGATTTACCAGGAGTAACCAGGAAAGTTTAATGTATTATTCTTATCTCTCTTTTAAAAGGTATAAAACCAACTATTATTTTAAGGGTTATAAACTGAATGAATTGTTAAATAAAACAGAAGATACACAATACTGCCACTTTGGCCTTTTGCTGGTTTAAGCTCGAAAAAAACTGAATTTCATTAATCATACCTTTAATGCTACAAGAAGAGTCACAGTCTCCACCGAATAATAGCCTCTGTCTACATAGTCGCCCATGAACAGGTAGTTTGTATCTGGTGATTTTCCTCCAATTCTAAAGAGTTCCATAAGATCATGGAATTGACCATGAACATCTCCACAGACGGTAACAGGACAGCGAACCTCTTGAACATTTGACTCTTTCGTTAAAATTTCCTTAGCCTGTCAGGAAAAGAATATTAACAATTAAAAAAAGATTCTATCACAAACTTAAAAGCATCGTTCCTTATGTATTAAAATAAAATGTGGGGGAAAAAACCTGAAACATGCCTTATAAAATCATAAAACTAAAACCCCACAGTGAGATACCCACTTTACACCCCAGCAGGATGGCTCAATTAAAGACAGATAACAGCAAGTGCGTGTGAGGATGTGCAGAAACTGGACCAGCACACACTGCTGGTGAAACGAAAAGTGGTGCAGCCACCGTGGAACAGTCAGGCAGATCTTCAACAAGTTAAAAAACAGAATTACAGTTTGATCCTGCAATTCCACTCTTAGATATATACTTAAAAGAAATGAAAAGTTATGTTTACATGTGTTCGCACAGCATTATTCACAACAGCTGAAAAGTGGAAAACACTCAAATGTCCATTAATTTGTGAATGAATAAAATGGACTACTATTCAGCGATTAAAAAAAAAAAAAGTCCTGATACGCGCTACAATGTTGGAAACATTACACACTAGCCTCCCACTAGTCACAAGGTTCCAAGATCCCAGTAGATGCCAGAAACTGCGACGGTACCAAATCCTGCACACATAATTAAAGTAGAACAATCATAACAACATACTGTAATAACAAAGTTAATATGGTCAGTCATTCCAGGGGACTCTTTGCTGGAGTCTCCTCATGGGCTCAAAGCTTTCTGGCACATGTTGTCATCCACTGGAACACGTTTTCTGTTCACATCTTCCACGCACAAATTTAATGTCTTATCCCTCTGAACTAAGCCCTTTTCACACATTGTGTCTGTAACTTTTGCAGTCTGAGGTGGGACACCAAAACCAGCACGGCTTTCTTTTCCCTTTTTCACAATTCCATGGATAGAAGACTCATTCTCAGCACAGACCTTTGCAACCTTGGCACGTGATTTTTTTCCCGTGCTTTATTAAATTGAGAACTTCCACCTTTTCCCTTGAAGGAAGCACTTTAAGACTTCTACTTGGCATATCTGAATTGCCAGCATCAGTACTCTTGCATTTGGGGGCCATTATTAAGTACAGTAGGGTGGCTTGAACACAGGCACTGTGATACCTCAACAGTGGATCTGATCGCCATGATGGCTACTAAGCGACTCACGCGAGAGGAGGGTGTGCCCAATGGAGATGCTGGACAGAGGGATGAGTCGCATCCTGGAAGGACAGAGCGGGACAGCGAGGGATTTCATCACGCTCCTCAGAAAGGCGTACAATTTAAAACTTACGAATTGTTTATTTCTGGATTTTTTCTATGTAATATTTTTGGCCTACGGTTGACTTTGGGTAACCACTTGTGGAAAGTGAAACCGTGGATATGGTGGGGACTGCTGTATTAAGTGAAAGGAGGCAGTCACAAATTGTCATATATTGTATGACTCTATTTACCATGAATGTCCATAACAGACAAACCTACAGAGACAGGAAGTAGACTGACTGGTGGCTGCCTAGGGCTGGGGAGTCTGGGGGAGGGACGTAATGGCTAAGCGTACACACAGGGTTTCTTCTGGGGGTGATGAAAATGTTCTGATGGATCCACATCTGTGAATGTACTAAAAGCCACTGAACTGTACATTCTAAATGGATGAATTGTATGGTGTAGGAATTACAGCTTAATAAAGCTGTTTTTAAAAAGACAATCATAAGTTAAGAAAAACTCACAAATTTTAGAAAGAAACACATTCTTTCACCAATTCATAAGCCAAACTCCAACTTCTTTATTCCAACTGTTTTACATTTAACGGGGCAAGTTAGAATATATCCTCATAAGGCTCTGAGTTTATATATATATATAGTTTCTATATAAACAAGACAAATTAAATGTACAGACTGAATTCAAGTTCATTACACCTCATCTATTTAGCAACTTTGCCTAATAGGAAAAAGATCCCAGAATCATAACAAAATAATAAAAATAATAAATAAAAAGGCCTCTGAAGGCCTGTAATAAAACAGGTATGATGAAAGTATATATACCTTCCCATCAGCCCCCAGAAGCATCTATCAGGCCTTAGTCTGGGTCTCTTCACTTCTCACGTACAGAATTCTAGTACGCTATTTATTGTATGTCCAGGTCTGTGAGAGATGATCAATGGAAAACCAGGACGGACAAGAGGTGAGAACTGGGACTAATGCAAAATACAAACTAGTAAGAAACAGCCTCACCGTGACGGTGATGGCAGTGAAAATGACACGGGGCAGCCAAAGGGAAACCCTCAGGATGAGGCCGACAGCAGAGCCCAGCGGAGGATGGCTACTGCTGGTGGGAGGGTGAGATTTTAGGGACAGACATTTCTCTGCTCCTCCGGGGGTCTGACGACCTGAAGAGCATTTAAGAACATGGGTTTTCAGTCTCTCTGCACATAAAGCTCCCATTTCTCTGTATCTTCATCAACTCACTTTACCATTCCTGTCAATCAGTGAGTGCACAACAGTTACCTTTTAATTTGCATCTCTGATACTTTTTAAAATGCAGCTTGTCATGTTTGCTGGTCATTGGATTTTTGTGTGTGTGTGAAATATCTACCACAAAATTAGCCTGATTTTCCTCCTTGGTTGTTTATATGTTCCCTATTGATTTTTACTAGTTTTGTTTATTTTTAGCATTAGAAATATTTACCTTGGACTGGTTTTATGCATTTTAAGTATCTTCTCACAGTCCGGGGCTGGTGTTTTCATTTTGCTTAGTGCTACTAAAGCTTTGTTGTTGTTTCTAAACTTTAAAATACCCAAATTTACCACTCTTCTCCCTTTATGGTCTGTGCTATTTGGGTCTTGTTTTAGAAACTGTATCCTACGCAGAAGTCAAAAAGGCACTCCTGTATTTTTATCTCAGGAGTTTTTGCTTTCACATTTTACAAGTCTTTAATCCAGAGCTGTAATCGTATGGTATACAATCTTTTGTTGTATGGTATAATGTAGGGAATTAGTTTTAATTTTATTACTAATGATTAGCCAACTGGCCCAGCATTATTTACTATACTGTGCCATCCTTTCCTCGCTAATTTGTAATGTCACCTCTGCCAAGCTTTTGTAAAAAACTATGACTGCATCCTGATTTCTAAGATCCGGACACAACCTTGCAAACCCTCTCAGACTCTCTTCACCGCCTCTTTTTCAGAGGGAGCTGCCTTGCTCTCCAACTGCTCTGCTGTCATCACGGATGGTTCCCTTGCCCAGCCGGAGCTGTCTGGAGTCTAAGCTGAAGCTGTGGACCTGCCTGGCCCTGGTTCTAGCTATGCTGAGCTGCTGCTCCACTTCCAGACATGGATGGAATGCCACAGGTGGGATGTGGGACTGGCTTCTTGAGCAGGTGCTGAGAGCTGGGTATTGTGTTATGGAAAGTTGAGAGCTTTCCATAACACAATATGGAAATATGTGCTAGTTATCTCTCCACAGAGCGAACCTGAACTACCAGGAAGAGGGAGAAAAGAGGGAACCAGGGAAACAAATTTCCCTCTAAGGTAATGTATCATATTGCATTGCTTCACAGCTTCTCCCACCTTCTTTTTTCTCCTTCACCCTACAACCTCGGGCTTGCACTCCCCAAATAAAATGTCAGCTCTTTAACCCTTGTCTTGGGTTCCATTCTCATTGGTCCCCACCCTTGTGTCAGTAACAGATAGATTTAACTACTATAAGAAATATAATAACTGGGCCCTGGCTGGTGTAGCTCAGTAGACTGAGCATGGGCTATGAACCAAAGGCAGCAGGTTCAATTCCCAGTCAGGGCACATGCCTGGGTTGCAGGCCAGGTCCCCAGTAAAGGTGCATGAAAGGCAACCACACAGATGTTTCTTCCCCTCTCTTTCTCTCTCCTTTTCCCTCTAAAAATAATTAAATAAAATCTTTAAAAAAGAAATATAATAACTGGAAGTAGGCTCCCCTTCCTACTCCTTTTATTAAAAACTATTTGGGCATTTCTAGCCCTTTCATCAAGCCTGACATATAAATTTTAGAACTGGTCAAGTCCTATGGAAATCTTGAGATTTAAACTCAATTGGCAGATAAGATTTTGCAGAAATAGTAAAAAAAATTAGACTCTTCAAGTCATATAACATTAAGAATTTAACAAGCTAATCTTACTTATAATAAAAAACTAAAGGAAACATTACCAAAAACAGGAAAGATTATTTAACATACAGTACCTGTACAGGACGTTTATCAAGTTGACAAAGCATTCACTCGATGTATACACCGTCCACAGAAATCACCCGACACATCGACATGCTCCTGAAGGGTAAGGCTCACGCATTCACACAGCACACACCTGTCATGTGTCTGCTGGGGGCCCGGTGCCAGAACTACCCTCTCTAGCCTCCACACGCTGGCTTCGACCGGCTCAGCCAAACAAAAGAACAGCTTCCGTATACAGTAAGATAAAAGAGAAGCCTGGGAAAATGTTTATAACACAGAAGATAAATAGGAACACATTGATAACCACCATATAAAGATATTTGTAGAATAAATCGTAATATGTATCAAAAATCACTGATTCCGTCAATCTTAAGAGAAGTCCTAATAAGCTATATACATATTCTTGAAAAAGAGCATTTAAGGATATAAAGCTTCAAATTAGCCATCTTCATTTAAATTGTTAAGTGAAAGGAGGCTTATAACTATTTTTATACCAATTTACGTACCATGGAAAGTTCTATTCTTTTGTATTTTAACATCAAAAAGTTGATTTTAAGTCTTGGCAAGGAGATTTTCCGTAATATTGATGGCTTTTAATAGTTTCATGACATAATTTCAACACTGTGAAGTTTTGTTGAAAAAACTGTGTTTACTAACATAATGTACAGATAAATGAATGTGGCAGTTCTCAGAGGGTGACCCCAGAGCATGTTCAGATGTAACATATTTGCTATCGCTGCTTCAGGAATAAACACTTTTTGAAATTTCAATTTTAACTGTCAATACAGTAAACATCAATAAAACCACCTCTTTGTAGTCCTTAATTTT